AAAGAATTATTATTAAAATCAAGTATCACACACTTATTGTATCTCTGACACTCTTATTATTGTCGATCACAAGTAAAGTGAATGCGAATTATATTATACCCATATTATATATTAGTGTATAACTGCTAATTATTTAAATTAACATGTTATTAACTTATAAGGTTTAGTTGATAAATCTGGGGTAACTTTTTTAATCGAAATTTTATTTTAGTGCAATTTTCATTTTAGATGAGTAAACCTGTAGAACACTCCAAATTATTGTATAACACTCGATATTAATTGATAACAGTCTTGATAGTGTAGCAAGATTGCCCTGAAATTAATAGCTGTTTAATATGAGGACAAAACTACAAAAATTTTAGATTACCCTAGAAATGTTCAATTGGGCAACAAAATTTGACAGAGTTAGAGTAAATCTAGATTGAATCCAGATTTACCAATCGAAGTTGTCATTAATGGAAAAAAGTTCTATGAATTCATTGTCTTAATAAATGAAGTTGTGACGTGATCTCCTAAAACGTGTGAATCACTATTTGTTGTAGAAATATTAGTCTTCACCGACGCGAGTGATACCTCAGCCACTTTTCATGAAATTGACATTACTTAATTTCAAACTGTAGATGAAGTTCTTGAGATCAGCGGAGATCTGTACGAATAGGTGTACGAATACGCTTAAATCAAAAAGACGCGTATATATATATATACAACAGGCACACATTATCTCGGAGACAACTATTATCCTTAGCAACACTAATCGGTATAAGAAACAAATATAAGTGTACTAGGCTTGAGAAAGTTGAAAACTAGTAAAAATTAGTAATCTAGATTGGTAATTCCGTGTTTATATAGCATCCAATTGACCGATATCTTTTTTATCCCAAATTTGCATTTGATATTTCAAATGACACTTAAAATATAGATTATTTGAAAGAAGTGTTTCAATCGTGCAGCCATTTGAAATAGAAGTACAAATGTATTTACCCTCTGTTAAAGAAATAAAAAAAACTATCTAAGCATAGTCAAGCCAACGTAGGCAGACGAATCCTTCTGTTAGATTTACATCAATGAGACTGGGTTGAACTTATAATGACTTTTGTCATGGTTGTGATTTCAATTACAAGAAGGAAACTTTACTTCATCTCATGTGTCAGATGGGTACTGACACTTCTACTTTAGGTAGTAGAAATTATAAAGTTTTCGGTACCCTTCTTCTTATCTCAGGTTGCTGACTGAGCTGTCATCCTGCAAAATTAGAGATTTGGTCAAGTTTACACAGCTATCAGGTTGGTTCATTTTTACCTAATGAGGGTATCTTTGTTTTTTGGCGTTATTTGTATGCTGCCTACTAGTCTGTGTATGTCGTTATTTAAACTCAAGTGGGCTTTATTGAGTACTAAGCCGCCACTGCAACCTAACATAATCTAACCATTGCGTTTCTTGTAATACAGAAAAGTCAGATTTTTAATTTTTATATAAAAGGCTACATATATATAACAATAAAACATTTGCTATATAGTCATACAGTTTTTAACAGACAGTTTCCAAATACGTTATCAAAAAATTGATGAAATTTTTTATTAAAATTTAATAAATTGCAATTATAAATTATAAATAATTATCACTTGATAGACATTTTTTAAATTCCGTGTATTCAGTCATTAAACATTAATTTAATGGATTTAACCAGAGTTGAACTGAATCTCAGGTCAAAATATTCCTATTCGATGAATCATGTTGGTTTAACAATACCAGACGTTGTTATATTATGTCATATCTTTTTTACCATATGAGATAAAATTTCTCTAACGAAATGATCAGGTCAATTTAACTAGAATGTGACTCTACTAAACTCTATTAAAATAGTTTTCTAAAGTTATCCACAGTATTACATTATTTCAATTCTTGGCTAATAGCAATTCGAAAAATGTATATCCAGTTCGTCTTCCTTATTAATGAAAGCATGCCTATGACACTTTTCTAAACCAAAGGTGAAATTTTTCCAAATTTAATCACAAAAAAAAAACTACAAAAGAAAAAGCTGAACCACTTCAGGTCGGATATCCCTCTTAACAATTATAAGCAAACAATGGCATTCTGCATCAGCGTTTGGATTGAACCTACCATGTAGTACCATTGCCCACAATCTTATCATTGTTACAGCATGAAATAATTGTTTCTATTTAAGGATCCTTTCTGAAGGTTATCAAATTTTCCGTAATTTTATTTCAATTGAACCGAGGTAAGCAATGTGGCTTATTAAAAAATTTACTATTACACTAATTAGGTTGAAATTCACACGCCTACGTTTAACGTGTCCACATAAATAAGTGTTTCGGAAATTAATTAAAATTCACACCTGATAATTGGTGGGCGAGACTTTGAAACTCATTAGCTAAAACGTAACAGGTGTTTTGACTAAAAACGGAAAATCAGAAATGAATTTGCAATGTTTAAAGCTTTGCATTTAATCTCTTCAAATCGCGAGGGTGTGGCTTAGAAGTTTTGCAGGGAAATCCTATAAATTTTCAATTACTTTAAATCAGTTGTTATTTACTACTGAAATGAAATAAGATTACGTTTATGAAAAGTACGTATTGTTTTTGTATTCACTAAAGTTCATTATAAGGATTATTGATGGTATCTTAACTTCATTTGAAAGAAATCTGAAGAAAGATATATAATGCGATAAGAGACAAACCATGATTTTAAAAGTATCTACAGAGAATAATTTAGATTAATTTGTAAATGAATATTTTTTCAAAAATAAAGGAACATAAATTCACTATTTTATTAAAATTATTAAAATCAAGTCGATTTGACTTTATGGCATAAGAAGTCTTAGAAGTCTTCTAGTTTCTAAGCCAAAATATAATCCTAGCCTTTAAATTTGACTATATTTATTTATTTATTGATAAATTAACCATAACTATAAATCAAAAGTTTATTGCAGCTCCTAAGACTTAGTCTATAATTACAAGATTATAAGACGCTGTCTTCTTGGACTTTAAAGTCCAGCTCTAACAACGCACAGAAGAAACTTATTTCATATGGAATTTCTGTCATCAAAACAGATTAAGAACTCTGCTCTAGATTAAGTTGTGGACTTTGTTCACAGAGCTTTAACAAGGTTTGTGCAATCAGTAACGAAATTGATACAATAGGATTCTTCAGCAGGTACTACCTGCTGGGCGATTTCACGTCAAAACTTTAATAATAAATAATAATGGACTGATTGGGAAAGACATGCTATATGTTTGTTCTAGAGACTGATGTAGCATAGGGACAGCAAGAACAAAGATGGTGACCATCATTTATTATCATCATTTCAGCACTCTCCACCACCTGCAATAGTTAACGATTTAAGAAACCTTGGAAATATTATAGTGTTGGCTACAATATTAAGCACAACCAAGCAGATATCCACTAAAATATAACTCTTTCTTACGCTGTTTACTACTATATAAAGGATTAATCATATTCTTGACTGACTATATTTGACTGTACTATTTTCGCAACATATGTGAAGTACTCTGCTATATGTCAACAAACAAAAAATTTATCTGATAACTGCAGTTCTAAAACTCCTAAGATTTAAGATTATCTGTTGAGCTATTGTTGCACTTATAAAAAGTGTTTGTTATAATATGAACTTTGGTCTGTGGTTTAATAGGTCTGCACTTTTTTCAAAATGATTAAGATGTCTCCGGAGCCGTCAATTCCAAACGCTTTGACTGCTACTGCCCAATAATTACCAATCTTTATTAAAAATGAGATTGCAAGTATGGATGTGGAAGATATGTGGTTTGAACTTGATGGTGCCACAGGCAACATAGTTATACTATTTCAGTTCTCCCATTACCTGTAATTTTTTGTTTTGATGATCTGAACTTTCCATCAATATCAAGTGATGGAATTGGATTTTTTGGAGGAGTTACGCCGAAAATGATGTGTACGAGAAATTTTATCAAAGTTACAGCATTTTGAAAGTGAACACCAGTCGTGTTATGGATTTTAGCATTTGAAGCATTAGCACTAACAAATAGCTAGATATCTTAAATGGATATCAGTTTTATAATACAAAAGTACTTTATACTTTAGTTATAGGCGCAACCTTTTGTTGATAAATTAGCGTAATCTAAAAGCTGGCTTCAAAAATAGTTTAACATATTAAAAGAGTATGTCAAGCTACGTGATAAGCGTGAGAGCTGAATTGTTATGAGATGAAGATATATACTTCGGAAAGCTCAACATAAAACCATCTATCTGTGAAGTTGGTTATTTTAGCATATTTTAGGTTGAAATTTCTGCTGTCTCTTTTTTGATTAAATAATTTCAATTCTTCTCTTTAAAAGGATGAGAACATATATATTATATTGAGTTTCCGTGTTCTTCATTTCATTTAAGTACTATGCCATGGACATTTTTTTATAGATAGATTAATAAAGTCAGAACTTAAACTTATGAAAATTATGAAAATATTGACTTTTTTAATTAATATGTCATAAAAAAAAAATTTTGCTGTGAGAAAAATTTCCGTTCAAAGGAACGACTAAAATACTATTTACTTTTGCCTTCTCTTAAGTTTCATTCGCGAAACGTGATTCTCTCGGAAAAATAAGTCTTTTATAAATTAATTTGAAAATTTATTTAATTAATAAAATAGTTTCCTTTTATTTTTGAGTGTTTACTTCAACTCCTTACAGTCTGCGTTGCAGTTTACCTCTCGTTTAATTTTTTTTATCCCTCACATTAAGGAAACTAATTAGTGAAAATTCCAGTTGTTCACGTATGTTGTATATTTGATATAATTCGTGTGCATTTTTGCACGTGGCATCCACGTTGTGTTGCAATTAAAATTTTTCTTTGACGTTTGAAGTCATACAAACATACAAACGTATAAACAAAAATGAAAAAATAAAGAAAAATATAATAGGAAAAACGTGTAGGAAATAGTGCACTTCGTTTTATTAAATATTAAATTTTTTTCTGTTTCATTGCAGCTCTGCTATGGTGCATCAAGTCCAGCGCTATCGGATCGCAGCCGCTTTCCCACATTATTTCGCACACATCCATCCGCAACCGTTCACAATCCGACGAGAATAAAATTAATGAAAAAATTTGGATGGTCACGTGTGGCCATACTGCAGCAAGCTGAAGAAGTTTTCATATCGGTGAGTAATTTAAATTTTATGCATACTTATGAAATCCCACAACTCACATGAGTACATTGCCATCGTGGGTGGTAATTAATCACTTTAAGTGTAAAATGATTAATTAGTAAAATGGAATTTAACACGAAAACTTTTTGGATCCAAAACTTTTTGCTACAAGTAATTTTATGAATTTATGACTGGAAGCTATTGAAATTTAAGATGCACTCATAAAAATGTCTGTAATTGCAGTCAAACTGTATTTATTGCATAAAAAGTTAAACTTACGAACAAAGAACATCAAAACTGATTTATTCAATCAATAATATATGTATCTCGATGTGATGGCACCATTTATGATAAGTTATTAACTTCTTGTTATTTATTTCTGGAAATTTCTAAATAAAATTTAAAGGGTCTTAATCATCTTTGATTTTTTTTTTTGGACTGAAAAAAATGTGTACTATGCAACCTACACCAAACTCCTTTTAAGGAGCCAACCTCTATTAGTTAGAACAGCCAAGGCTTTGTGATCTAACACCCATAGTATCAGAGTTATATTTCCAATCATTTTCCAATTTCCAATAGCCGTAAGTAAAACTCACTTACTAACTCTATAATCCAAACAATATCGAATGGTATCCATAGATTTTAGCCGAATCGTACGACATTCGTCCCTTTCTTTTCCCATGGGGACAACGTCATATGTGCTATTTGACTATAAAAAAAAAACATTCAACTCAATTACAAGAGACTACATTTAGCTTGTCTTCGACGGCCAATACATGTTAATGTCATCTACAAATCTACAAAATATGTTATTCATAATAAAAACTTTAAGCTCACCTCTGGTGTTAGACAAAGCTAGACAAATTAATTCTTTTGAAGTAAAGTAAGGAAGTATTTTCTTTTATTTTCTTTATTTTTAATTAATTTTACAATATTCATTAATATACAATATTTTGATCTATTGATATTTTGATCTTCACAAAAACGTATTTACTATGTTCAATATACAATCAGCCTAACTCCAAATTATTTTAATTGTCTTTTTTATACATCTGAAGTGAAGCTAAATTATCTATTAAAGTTTAAGTACTTTCGATTAAATTACATTTAGTTTCCGCATAAATACTTTAACTTGATATTAAAATTTGATATTATAAAGTGGCTGTAGTACTAAATTTTAGTGCCTGTAAAAAGTGCAATTTAGCATAATTGAAGCTGAGGAAATAGATACAGATACAATTAAATAAATGTTAAATACAAATAAATCGGAGGATGATTTTGTTTTCATATCTCATGTGATAATTATACAATTTAAATGTAGGATGTATTTTTAGCATACCTTACCCATATACCGTTTAATATCGAGTATGCAAAATGCGTCTTAAAAAATGATTTAAAACACTTTTATAATAAAATTATTCCCAAAAAATGATTTTTAAGTAAAATTTATTGATTATTTGATTAAAAATAATTATAACTAGAAAAAATATATAATATTATTAGTGGTTCATTTGTAGTAAATAGCACGTTTAACTTTTTTTGAATAATATTACTCTGAAAATAATTTTTAAATTACAATTATTGATAAAGTCAAATCAGAAAAAAAAATTTTATATATGTTTTAAATATTTTTTAAAATTATATTTTATTATAAATAGTTTTTTTCGAAAAGTAGTGAACAATGACAATAAAAATTCTTTTTTATATTATTTCAATTAATTGAATTTTTGGCTGACCATACAACTGTTTCGAGTATTGTCAAATACCCATCGTTAGCGGTCTTGAAAATAATTTTTGTATTTAATTATACGTAAATAATTTTTTTTAAACTGCCAGTACCAGAAATCAAACTCATGCACTGCCAAATTTGAAGCTCAGAGTCAACGCTACTTAACCAACTGACCCAAAACCGAACTAGTTTTTGATGTTTGCAAATTTTTCTGGAGTTTTATTAATTTGCTGTGAAAGTTTTATTTACAAATTCATTTGCTGTGTTTATATTAGAACGACATCATAAACCAACTGTAGAATAATTAAATTAGTTAATTTTATTTTTTATTTTTAATTGTTAAATTTCAATACTATTATGTTTGTAGAGGACTTTTATTTTATAAAATTAGAATATGTACATGTGTACATAAAACGTAAGATACTGCTTAAATAAACATTTTTAAAAATAATTCTAAAAATAATGCCATCGAGAAAATTTCAGACTTTTTATAAAATACCATATTAAATATAAATCAAAAATAAATACTTGATATTTTTGTTGCTTATTAGGATTTTTTTAATTACCGGTTAATATTAGAACCTAAGTAAAAGCAATTTTATATTATTTACAAAAAATTCAATTTTAAATTTTTTCTTCATGATGCAACTATTTAAGGTTTCTAACACATAGTCTAGGATATGTCCAATAAAAATTTGAACAGAGTATATATATACGAAGAGATATATGTTCTTCTATATACATATAGAAATATATATATATTTATACATATATATTTAATTATAATAACATAAATAACGATATGTAATTAATTTTATATCAATAATTCAATCGCACTCTAAATATATACATATACTTATTTGTGTTTTTATAGCTATATACATATAACGTATATAGTTATATATACTATATACATATATAGGTATGTATGTACTATAGGAATATTATATATATGTATTATACATTTATATATGCATATATAAATATTTTTATAAAAATTTTATTTCATTAATTTACTAATTATATACTAAATACATATAGATATATTTTTATAATTACAAACATTTATGAATAAATATATTCCTAATTGTATACATGTATATACATATTTATATATACATATATATACATATATATATATACATATATATACATTTATATATACATATATATATATTTATATATACATATATATATATTTATATATACATATATATATATTTATATATTTATACATATATTATAAATATATATATACATGTATACAACTAGAAAGATATATATACATAAATGTATGTATATGTATTTCGTATATAATTAGTGAATTAATGAAATGAAATTTATTTTCGTGGCCAGAATGCCAGTTGACATATGTGGACTAATTATGTGCAACAAAGTGGCCCACATAGCGTATGCGCGTCATTAATTACTATAGTTTCGTTTACTCTTTGTAACCCGTTGTCATTAACTTAAATCCAACCAAAGCCTTTTGTTGTTGTTTATTAATTTTACAATCGATCAAACGTAACAAACCGAAGATAAATTAAAGTACACATAAGTAAATTCTGAAATACAACCACACACTCATGTGTACGCTTAATGCACACACTCGCAGGAATGTCTTCATTTAATTAATTTCATTATTAATTTCGTACTCATATTGTAACTGCTCATATTTGAGTTCCATCCAGTGTTCGTTAGGCAAATATTTGGTTTCAACTCAAATACAAGGCACCAAAGCATAAAAGCACAAATCAATTTACTCAAAGTGATATATTGTAAACATAGACGCAAATACATACACACACACATCTACATCTAGATTCTATACAGTGCCTACTGGCACTGCCATATACACATACATTGACATTATGACTTTTGAAATCTTAACAAGTATGTGTCTGCATTATTCCGCTCTCTTTTTTGCCTTTGGTCGCCGGCAGTTTGTACAGTGTTTTTGCTTTGAAATTCATAATTAATATTCTGTGAAAATGATGTACGCTTGCTTTGATTCAATTTGGTCTGAGTTGGTCATTAATGGTGTTGCAGCTGTTGTTGTTATTGTAGGATATTATTATTGTAGTCACTCACATGTATAAACATTAACATTAGGCTTTCTTTGCATTGGATTTGGTTATGTTAACATTGTCATTCTCGTTTTATTAATTTCGTGCGTAGAAAGCATTTAATGATTGAAGTTCAGACAATGCCCCAAGTATCTTAAGCAATTAAAGAAAAAAAGGTACTATTTCCGAATCAATAATATCATAACTAACAGAATCATGTGAAAGTGATACAAAAGTGTGACTTCAAAAAAATGATAATATTAGAGTTAGAAGTTTAGGAGTCTACAGTTCTTTAAATTCCACCCAAATTAATGTTTCCCATTTACGGAATTCAAATATAAAGCACGAGTTAAAAGTAAATTGGTTCAGTTGAATTGCAACTTTTCAAAAAGCTATTACAGATGTATATCTTAAATTCTTTTACGTCCACAACCATTTTATGACCCAAGAAAAAGTAGCTTATAACGACCTAAAAAGAACAACAAAAAGGACTTTACTTAGACAACCTTATATTATATTGCAAATGACTTATAGAAGCTAATTTCTTAAGTCGATATAAGACTTTGTACCTAACGAAGTAGTTTTGCAAGAAAGAATCACTCTTGTCAACAGTTCTTAATTAGAGCTAAGTAAGCAATTGAGGTTTAAAGTCTACTCTCTCAAACAAAATTCATGCTCTACATGATCCTGCTATATGGTGCAGAAGCTTTGATACTTACCATTAATGATGAGAAAGTGTTAGTGGTATTCGACAGAAAAGTTTTTCGATAGTTCTTTGGTCTCTAATGCGTTGGCAATGAGTATCGAAATTAAGTATCGTCGATGTTACTTAACTGTCTCAAAAGTTACTTAAAGATGAAAAATTTTTTGGGACAAAAAAATGTTCATATATTTAACCGAAAAATTATTTAATTTTGTACTGATTTTCAGAAGAAACTTTTAATATAAATTTTATTAAAATAAACGCTCTAATTTTTTTGAGTTTCTCTAATAAAAAATAAAGTTTGTTTATTGCATTGATTTTAATTGTTAAAATAAAAATATTAAAAAAAACTTTTGCTTATGCTTCCTGTTAACATATCTTGAAGGAAGCTTTTTTGGTCAAGAAAAGTCTTCAAATATCGATGGGTACACAATTCAGACGTCTGTGGTTGAACACTGACAAGGAGGATTGTACCTTGAAAGTATTCAAAATCATTCAACAAAAGATGCATTAATTTTTTTTAAAAAAATTTGTAATAATAATAATTTATATTTATTGTACGAGG